GGCTTAGGAGTGTCTGCCGAAGGCTCAGAGGCGCCAGAAGTACTGAGACCAGAGGCCCGGCGGCTTCGCCTCCGCGGCTGGGGCTGCCTCTCAGTCGCCAGCTCTGGCTCCATGGCATGGAAGAGGGGGGTGGGGCGGTGGGCCGGATGCCCGGGAGATCGGGAAGAGTGAGCACCGTGCCCAACAACTTTTGAAAGGGAGAAAAGTTCCTGTCAGGAGAATGCCACCACTACCACCATCATAGAGGTTTGAAAATGGCGGCTGCTCAGAGATCAGCCAATCAGAGAGCAGTAGGAGGTTGCTAGGAGACGTGTAGTCCCGCCTCCACATTCCAAACCCACTGCGGTCCAGTCCATTCTCCACCAAAGCGACCCTACAGGATAGAGTGTTGTTGTTGTTGTTAGGTGCCGTGGAGTCTTCTCCGATCCACAGCTACTCTATGCACAGCAGAACGAAACACTGCCAGGTCACGATCCTTGCTATACCTGAGCCCATCGTTGCAGCCACTGTGTCAATCGGTCTCGTTGAGGGCTTTCCCCTTCTTCGTGAACCCTCCTGGGTAGAGTAGAACCACAGTTTCCAAGGCTGTAATGTTTAAGGAAGGGGACTGCCACATCTTTCTCCCACAGAGCAGCTGGTGGATTCCAATGGCTGACCTTGTGATTAGCAGCCGAATTCTTTAACCATTGTGCCACCAGAGCTCCCTGCCTCCACGTTGTTGTTGTTGCTGTTGTGATGTGCCCTTGAGTCAGACCCGACTCATAGCGAGCCCTCCTTGGGTTTCCGAGAGGCAGTATCATTACGGAAGTAGGATTGCCCAACCTTCCTTCCGAGGAGTGGCTGGAGGGTTTGAACCGCCAGCCTTCTGGTGAGCAGTCAAGTGCCTTAGGCACTATGCTACCAGAGCTCCTGCCTCCACATTACATATACTTAAACAGAGGCAGGAAAGGAAAAACCGTAGGGCTGTAATTGGTAAAGCCCTGCAGATTAGTGGGTGAACTTGGATTTAATTTTTACTCCATCTCTAAATTCCTGATGCTGAGTACCTATTTTCCAGTTTATTTGGACCTTCATCACTGGCCAGGGAAAACTGACTGAAAGCATTTTTTAGGTAACTAGGCAGGTATTCGGCTGCTAACCAAAACGTTGGTTGGTTGAACCCAGCAGCTGCTCTGCGGAAGAGAAATGTGATGGTCTACTTCCGTAAAGATTTATGGCCTTGGAAACCCAGCGGGACTTGCTATGAGTCAGAATCGATTGGAAGACAGTGAGTTTTTATTTTTTATTTTTTTAAGTATTTCTGACAGGAGCTTTGGTGGTGCAGTGGTTAAGCGTGCTTGGCTGCTAACCAAAAAGTCAGTGGGTGGTTCAAACCCTATCAGTCAGTCTGCAGGAAAAAAGATATGGTGGTCTGCTCTGGCAAAGATTACAGCCTTGGAAACCCTATGAGGCAATTCTACTCTGTCTTTTAGGGTCGCTGAGTCGGAATTGACTCTACAACAATGAGTGGTGGTGGTAGGCATTTCTTAGCATTGGAGGGAAGAGAGATTGAAAGTAATGAACTAAAATAAGGTTTGATTATTGGTCATATACATGCTAAACTATTCATGTTAGATATATCCCCAATTACCAAAGCCAATGGAGATGTGTTCTCAGAGCTGCCTCTAGGGGACCAGTGGAATCTAATTTTGTGCCCCCCACTCTCTAAATACAAAAGAGATAGTCACTCCTTAGCAAAACAGAATGAAAGTGCCTATATTCTCTAATTTTAAGAAGACAACAAAAGACAGTGTAAAATATAGTACCCCCTCAAACAAAAAAGATAGTTGGTAAACAAATGAACATGTTCTTTGGTAAACAAATGAACATGTTCTTTGATTTTAAATATTGCTCTTTATGTGTGGAAGCCTTAAAAAATAACCTCCTCTTTGGCACTATAGTTCTACTTCCGGGAATCTATCCTCTAAGAAATAAAACCACACTGTGGTGGTTATGTTTGTGTGTCAACTTGGCTGGGCCTGGTTGACTAGCTGGGCAGCTGGTGGTAGTTATTCCCCACAATGAGACTGGCA